TGTGTGTGTGTGTGTGAAGGGAGCTGGCTGGTTGACAGCCTGTACACTGTACACGGAGCCAGACTGGTTACCAGGCAGGCTTTGCTACAGCATAGCCAAGACCACGACTGCTGCCAAAAATGAACTGAATGACATGAAACTGCTGCTCTGGAGACGTCTTTATGCAGGTGTAGGATTCAGGGATTAGAGGAATTTGTCACACCGTGTTCTGCATCATACCAAATCGCACTGAAAGTTTCTATTTTAGTTTATTGAAGAACATGAACCACACTGCTGCTTTGCAGATATCTTCATGCAGGTGTAGGAGGCACAATTAGTTAAATCCACACTGTGTACTGTGCCACATAAAACCACACTGCAAACTTCTGCTCCATTCTATTCAATCGTACAGCATTAAAACCCTGTATTTTCCATTCCGCATTTTATATTATGTCAGTGGCTGTCAGTCTTCCTCCCACAAAGTCATTATACTATCAAACTTATTATAGTTGCTTGCAATAATTGATACATTAAAAGCTGTTTTCAGGCATTTTGGATGTATTATTTGAATTACCTTTTATGTGTTTCCACTCAAATATGAATACATTTTCTAACAAGCTCAAGTGACACATGATGACAAGTCAGTTACAGCAGATGTGAGCTGGAATGGTTTAATTTTCCAGTTCCCACAATAGCAGCGCAAAGGACATGTGCACCAGAACAGCGGAATGTGAAGCCCATGTTTGTCACTCCTCTCCTTAATGTTCAGAGTCGAACATTCGTCAATTTTCTTCACTGTTTTGTGGTCTGAACGTGAAATCGTGAGGCCCTATTTGTGCGTCAGAATCAAACACTGCTCTCTCCCTCTCTCTCCCTCTCTGGGTAGGTGGGTGTGCTGTATGTGGTGTCACAATAGCCAGATCTAATGTTTCCAGGATGGATCCCAACCATAAAATGCTCAGCTCTCAACATGTTTCCCCTCCTGGGCAGGGAGAGATCTCCGAGTCTCTGATCAACACCATGGGCCTGGTTTCACTTAAGAACCGCTGGTTGGGTAACACATGTACTGTTAGAATCATGAATGTGCCTTTGTTCAATACTTTCCTCTGTTGCAAAATGAGTGCATGGACAAGGATGAGCGTGAGAATCCCCAAACATCTAATTCTCAGCTCTTAGTAATTCATTGTTTGTCTCTCCGCTGCGATGTATGACTGTTTATTCCCAGCAGTCATGATGGTGAATGAATTCTTAAATGTAAATTGTTCATATCTGTGAAAATGACTAGTTCACCACAAGATCAAAATTCAACTTTTTACATCATAATGTAGTGGTGGACTAATTAAGTAAATTTATATTAGTATGAGTATTATATTTTAAACCACTACTCAATAGTCCCAACAATTCAGAGATAAATACTGTACTTTTGTACACCACTACATGTGTGGTGTTACTTTTCCCAACATTTTTAAGATTTTTACATTTATATAGAAACATACAAACATATATGATAGATAGCGAAAGATTAAACCAATGTTTTCCAACCATTTTAGGCTGTGACCCTTTACAAAAAGCTGTGTCTCGTTGAGACCTCTTGTCACATTTCAGATATCTAGATTTCCAGTTCAACAAAGAGACCTCTAAACCTCTCACATGGTTTTATTTAAATAAAGTTTTTGAGGCTCAAAAATGTTAAATTTGCCAATATTACACAAAAATGAAAACAGATTTGTGTGGCAGAAGAACTTTGTTTAATAAACTAAAGTACCTGTGTGTAAAGTAGTTATATAGCTGCACTTCAACCAGCTACAACAGTAAAATGCTATAAAGTAATGCCATACAGTATGCATTGATACATCAATATTAACAATCTCTTAATGTAATAGATTATAATGTCGGTCACATTCTGAAGAGAACTTGAGTTGATAATACTTAGATTGACTTAAATGCAGGACTTAGTTATAATGAAGTATTTTTACATAAATGTGTTGGTACTTCTACTCAAGTAAAAGAGTAAAGGGTTGGATTTAAGAACATACACTAAAATGAGTCAACTGTTAAGACTGGTAGACTACTTAGTGACACGCATCTCCATCTAGTGGACAAGAGAACACACAGTGAGCAAATTCCCAGGCACTTGAGGTTGCTTGGACTTCCCCAAGAAACATCCAGCAGCATCCTTCTAAGCAGGAAGCTTTCTAAACCAGATGGATCTCTTTGGTTTTTGTTGATGTGGTTTTGGTGAACCCAAGAGAACAACCACAGGAAGTCGGATCTCTGGGTCTCTTGCCAGAGGGACATCAAAAGTGACCTGTAATAGAGGAAACACAACTTTTAGAACTGTTTTAGCGCATGCATACTTTATCTGATTATGAATTGCTTAAGTTTATATAACTTCAATAATAGTTCTGTAAAGTGCATGCTAATGTTGATACAATATTTTATTATATTTTATCTCACTGGAATCTTATTCCTGTCTTTTCATTGTATTGACTCTGGCTCTCTGTCACTACTCCAGTGTTTAATGAAAATACTAACCTAATCCCTTTGGAGCTGATGGTAGGACAGAACAGGTTGGGTTGTAATATGACACCTTTTCCTACATGTATCTTCACTAGTGTGTAGACATGCCACAAGGGCTGTTCCATTTAACCCCTCCTCCCTCTTTCTCCCTCTGTTTCTGCATCATACAGCCACTGTGTGGTGCTGTTGTCTTTGTGCATGCTCCTTTTCAGTTTGACAAAAGGTTGACAGATGTGTTTTAGCAACCACCCCGTATCCAAACCAAGGGCAGCAAATCATCAATGGCATCTTAAAATGAACCTAAAGTCAAAAGGAGTTTTTCACGGTGCAATGACTCGTCAGTTTATGAAGAAATAAGAAAACTAAAACCAGATGTCACATATTTAGGGTGTGGACATTTGCATTGCTCAATGTTACATTAAGAATTCAATAAGGGAGTTGTTTGAGGAACAGTATTAAGAGTTAATTAATCCCCATTACACTGTGTTCATGAACGCAGTATACATACCTTGACTCTGTACTCGAGGTTCATCATGCAGCAGTTGAAGAAGGTAGGCGGGAGCTGTGGAGGGATGCTCAGAACTTTGGTTATTGTTCGACTGGTTTTAGCTGGAACCAGGTCTCCTGTCCCAAACAGGATGTCATTTGTGTGTACTATCCTCTTTGACTGAGCAGCAAAGGTCTGCTTCTCACACAGGTAGAATTTGGGTGTTACTGTGCGTGTGGATTCATTGAGTATTTCTACAGAGACTCCCATCGCCTCACCTATTATATTAAGGAGAGAAAAAACAGATCATTAATGTTTCTGTTGAGGCCATTCAGAAAAGAATACTGAGTGAAATCAGCTTACCTTGCTTTACTCCCATTTTTTCAGAGGTAACATTCATAGTAACCTTTTCAAAGCCATAAAATGAAATCCTGGTCGCGTATTGTTGCTCCTACCAAATCAAGACAAAAGACATTATAATGTTTGATACTGTTGACTGAGCCAAGGGATTACAAACTTGACTGGACAAACAAGTGGAATCTAAAAGTCAAAAAATCAATTCCATACCTTAAGTCCGATGATTATCATGTCTGATTTAGAGGCAAAGGGGAACTCAGACTTGGTCAGGAAAGGGAACTCAGTTTTTGTTTTGTGGACAAGCCAGATTGACTGAGTCAGCTGTGCTCGCAAACTATATGTAATTTTGCCCCATTTCCCCTCATAAGATGAAGGCATATCTCTGTAAGGAAGAACAACATCATTTCATTTCACCTGCTGGGAAGTGTGTATAATATCCAAATTCTATGTACTGTGAAGAAGAATTAGGTTAGAGAAGCGCACGCACATATTTGGAATCGCAAAGGTGAATGGATACACATTTCTCCCAGGACTGATGATTTCTGAACCTTGTAAAAAGAAAAAAAGGAAATTAAATGTACATTAATCAACTTCACATCAGCTTCAAGCTATTTCATTCTTTCTTTATATGGCATAAGAGAGAAACAATACGAACCATCTCCTTTGTTTTTATCCTGAAGGATAATATGTTCAAAATAAAAGTATTTCTTCTTGTCGCTGTGAACACCTGTGGCTTGTCCTTCTTGTTCATACCATGTCACCTTAGCTTTTCCTTTAGCTTTGACCAAAAAACACTGCACTTTGGTTTCCCCGCTGGTCACCACTGTCACCCTTCCTGAGAGGATGTCCCCAGGAGAGAAAGTGCCTCGATCATTCACCTTGTTGTACTCCACTGAAAAATGTTTAACAGTCATGGTAAGACTAATTCAAATAACCTTCCCAAAGGTTGTTGAGTGAAAGCATGATCCTGCTTGTATGAATTTACTGGAAGCAGGTTTAAATTGATCCGCGGTGGTATTGAAGTCAGGCCTTTCGCCTTACAAGGATCAGGCAAGGCTGGCATACGCACTGTAGCAGCGAACCTTTCCTGAACCTGTATCTGTGTCACACATGATCACATGATCAAGAGCTGCAGGTGTCACTTTCACACAGGTAACTCTAGCCAGCAGCCCTACAGGCTAAATTAGGCAAATAAATTGAAATTGACATTATAAATGCACTAAGGTAAAAGGTTGTAACAGTATGCTATATGTGTGCAAATGCATTGGTATTCCTCAGTGAATACTATTGAAACAAAGGTCAAAACCACAATACAGCCCTGCATAATGAACATACTTTATCTTTAACATTATGTTTACAAAATTATATACCACTGTATAATGTGACTGCTAATGTAAATGAGTGGAATAATACAGAACCTACTATATTAATGATTCATGCAGTCATTAAGCATCATGATACATTTTGTGTTCCAGAAGGTATACCTCTCCCTAGAAGATGGTTCAGCATTCATAAAAGAATCACTACAGGTCGTTATATTCAACAGTTTTGATCAAAGAAACATCAAAAACAACTTGGCAACAAAGCAAAATCAAATTGCATCTGCTTTAACTAACTACGTATACTACTTTAGATCTTTTATGTATTATTTTTCATGGACATTAGATACATACAATACATATTGATTAGTTTGCTTCCTGAGTAGTTGAGCTCAGCCTTGTATTTGTTGCTACCAGGCTGCAGCTGTGATGCAGAGAGAGACTTATTTTTTAATTAACAAATATATTTAATTGATATGTGCACAATGGAGATCAGAAATGTGAAAAGGGGTTGTTGAAGGCATGATTATTATAGGAAACCCCTGATGGAGTCTAGACACAGCTGGTGGTGTTGGTGGTGGTGATGAAGATAATGCTGAAGATCTGAATGTGATGTGGAGTGGACTTCTGATGAGCTCAACCTGGGCCCTGGATAGATGAACTGGAGGTGAAAGAGGTGGAGGAGAGTCGCAAGTATTTTGCATTGAAAGAGAACAAATTTAAAGTTGGACAGCGGCAGTGTGATCGGCTGGAGGAGACACATATCTGATTAGAAAAGGAGAGTGTGAATGAATGAGGCATAATGAGAAGGTCTTCCTGACTGAACTTGTGCTGAAGTTCATCAAGTGGTCAAGTGGTAAGTCTGGCACGTTGAACCACCATGAGAAAGGCGATTTGCTGCTACCGTAATTCTCCTACATGCTTTATGTGCAGTGGGTGCAGGTCTTCTTCTATGGAGTCCACCATGAGTCTACAATAGCCCAAAACAGACATAATACTGGCTTTAGATAGGGCCTTTTGTGTTTTTCATGGGTTCACTGCCACCGTGATATCTCCTACATGCTTGGAAGGCGAGTGGTGTTTAGCAAATGTTGCAGTCTGCAATTTCACCACTAGATGGCACTAAATCCTACCCACTGGTCCTTTAAGGTTTTTTACTTGGTACATGCACACAGTGAAACAGTTGTTGGCAGTGTAATCCTTGCTCTCAGGCTCCCTCCAACAATGCTCTTACAATTTACACAAAAGAAAGTCACAAAAGTAAAATGAGGAGTGAGCAAAAGAAAATCTAAGTCAAAGACAGCCCCCAGGTTTATGACAAGGAAGAAGAAAGCATAGAATAAAAAATATTTTTATACTTTTTGTCCATTGTGAGTCTGACAGTATTTCAGGAGTGCAATGCCAAATCGGTGGCATATTTATAGCGCACTGTGATATGTGTCAGACTCAATAAAGGTGGGATACATTGCATATGTCGCATAGGTGGGTGGGGCTTCCACAGGTAGGGGTGCTGAATGTTGTTGGGGTGCTGTGTTCCGGGATGCTGCATGTTGTTGGGGTGTTGTTTGTTGTTGGGGTGCTGTGTTCCGGGGTGCTTCCTTTGGGCTTGCAAATGCTTCAAATCCAAAGTCATCAGAAGCAGGTGGATGTTTCTTAGCAGGAACCTCAGAGGCAGGAAGGATGACAATAGGGAGTTTGATCTCCGGGTCTGAAGCACATTTGACATCCAGATGGACCTGTGGAAGAACATTGTTGACGTTATATTGTTGGATTTAGGTAGGTTGTAGGTTTTCTCTCTCTTAACTTGAGTTGAGTTCACTAGTGTTCATTAGAGTTGCTCTGCCTTTTTACAAGTTTCTTTTGTTACGTTTAGTATTTGCTTGGCTATTTTACTAACAGTCAGTGAGAAAAATGTTCCCATTGCCCTTTTGTATATTTCTTGAAAGTATTTGTTTATAATATCGGTTGTTGATTTTTACCAAACTCAAAAGTGAAACTTAATTTACTAACTAAAAGTACAAATAAGACATTTTAAACAATTAAAAGAGGAACACAGAAATGCCACTCAGTAGCAAATCTAACGAACCGTAATCGAGCATATTAACAGAACAATATCTCAGTAAGAGGAAATGAAGGATTACTTCCCACAAACTAGCTGACCATCAACTTTACCTTAAGCCTGTATTCCAGCTTGATGATGGAGCAGTTCAAGATGGAGGGAGGTAGTTCCCTGGGGATGTTGATCACCTTGGT